TTGGACATCGATGCAATTGTAAAAAAAAAAAAAAAAAAAGTTTATTCTTTCCATTGATAGTCTTCTTCGTCAGGCTTCAAGAGTAGGATCAAAAGCCAGATTGCAAATGCTCAAACACAGGCACACATGTGAGCTCCTTGTGTGTTTCCTCGCGATGACTCATTATTTATTTTTCCTCTAAACCATATATTTAGCCAAATTAATTAAAAGGACCCAAACACTTTTTTTTTGTTTCTCCAGGGTATGAAAGAATTCAAGTGTGATGTCTGTGCCAGAGAGTTCACCCTGTCTGCCAACCTGAAGAGACACATGTTGATCCATGCCAGTGTGAGGCCCTTCCAGTGCCACGTCTGCTTCAAGACCTTTGTCCAGAAGCAGACCCTGAAAACGCACATGATTGTCCACCTGCCGGTCAAGCCTTTCAAATGCAAGGTGGGTAAAGAAAGTGGAGTTTTTAATTAAAGTCGAACTGCGTCCCGCTGTGATGGAGCGCGGAGGGACGCTGACTATTGTGCTCTTGTCTCTCAGGTGTGCGGAAAATCGTTCAACAGAATGTACAACCTCCTCGGACACATGCATCTCCACGCTGGCAGCAAGCCCTTCAAGTGCCCTTACTGCACCAGCAAGTTCAACCTGAAGGGCAACCTCAGCCGACACATGAAGGTCAAACACGGCATCATGGACGCCTCGATAGACGGACAAGGTGAGCGGGCTCATCGGTCGTCCTTAATTACGCTCTCTGCTTTAAAAAACCGAATTGTTGATGGGTTTTGTGTGGCAAGTTTCCCAGTGGGACTGCTCGGAGGGCTTCATGTCGCATTATTGTCACTCAGTCTGTCCCTAATGCACTTTGACTCAGCATGTACTGTAATCTAGTGGCCAAGTATTTTGATGTTTCTGTCACTCCCTCTCCGTGTGTTTAGTAAATATAGCACTGCCTGGATTAGACATGCCTGTCTCTATCAGTGGAGACTGATACCGAGGAGGGGCGATCTACTGGCTGTCCTCAACGTGGCCATATGTCTTTAGGAAGAGATCTGCATGCGTGTGCTATTGAGGACAAAGTGGGATCATGTTTGTGTCTCTGCTTCCTTCTTCAGAGCCCCCCCAAGAGACAGAAGGCCAGGAGGACTACGAAGAGGAGAGCTTTGAATTCAGTGAGCGAGAAAACCGAGCTAACAACAACAACACGCCAGACATTGCTAAACTATCTCAAATGGAGTATTACAGCACCTATGGGAAGGGCGCAGGGCGCTTCAGCACTGCATGAATTATTAAAATGACCCCAAATTGAATATAAGTGTGAACTAATAAAAACAGGATTGTTTTTTTTTTTATTATTATTATTATTATTTTTAGTTTTTTTTTTGCTGTCAAAGGCATAGTGCTTGGGTTCTTCAAGGACGTAGAGAAAGCCCAGCAAACTGCACATCAATATGCACTGGAATCAGTCGAAATGCTACAAAATTTGAAAATGTATACTTTTTTATCTAATTCCATATTTTTCATCTCTAAAGCATTGCAAATTTACAGATTAAATATATTTGAAAAAAAAAATGAACAGTCTAAAATAGGATCATTTAAGTTAAAATAAAATACTATATAAATTTGTATATGTTGTCAGTAGCTTTACAACAAGTACATCATCTGAGCCCAATTTGATAAGCACACGTTTAGCGCATACATGACGGTTATATACTGCACTTGCTCATTCAGACAATCCCGGTGTCTCACAGTGTGCTGGGGTAAACCAATGTGAACGGTTGAAGAAGGGAACAAGTGTTGCTGTTCATTTCACTTGCCAAAGCTAATCACATTGCAGAGGTCAACGATTCACTTTCATTTATACTGTGATAAATTAAAGTCAAGGTCTGCAAAATGACTGGATTTGCAATCTGTGTTTTGTTGTATATTATTGTACAGAATGTATCAGTCCACCTATGCGTTGGCTGGTACTGTAATCAGTGCGTTGCACTGAGGACCACAGTGTCTACTTTTTACATTTCTGCATTAACAAGCGTCACCCTGTATTGATCTCTAGTCTATGAATGTAACTGTTTCTGTGGAATGTTTTAAGACGCTAATGAAAAGAAATGAAAACACCCTCTTTAATGGTAGGACCCCTTTACCAAAGAATTGGATCAGATCTTGCATCTACGGGCTTCGTCAGTCTCTTTTTCCTTGCTGTTGTGTTGAGCTGGGACATTGGATTTCTTAGGGTCCAATCGCAGACCTCGTGAAATTACATTCAGGTTCCCCTCCCACCCATCTGTAGATCTCTTCAAAAGATTACCACAGAGAACAGACTGTGGTGCAGCATCTCTTTCAACAAAACCTCACCATTTTCCCCCCCATCCAAGCCTTCACAAGACGAGACTGCAGCATTTTTCAAAAGCAATACAAACCCTGCATTCGTATTGCAGTTGTTTTTTCTTTTTTTTTCTCTTTTTTTTTTTATGGATGAATCTCAACAAGAATTGTCCCAAAAAACTCGGACAGAAATATTAAGTGCCCCAGTGTGTCTGGGAGAGCATGCCATCCATCATGCTGTACACTGGTCTCAAGTGATGAACGACAACCTCCCAACATGTGACAGGGCCATGGACCTTGTGGAAAATGATTTGGAAATGCTCAATATATTCAGTTTCCCAGTGCTTAGCTTTTCAAACTTGTAACCTGCAAACAAGGTATCCATTTGCAATGTTGATATAGCGCATTTAAAATAAAAAAATGCTCATTTTTGTGAGTTTTTCAGCTTCTGTGTTCACTCTGTCACTATTTTAGTGATGATACAAAAAGGGGAAGATGTTCGGCTTCAATGGCTTTCTGTATTAGACATTAGTGTGGAGATAATGTGGATAGAATTGTATGTACAATGTTGTGTACCAGACAATACTGTAAGATAATAAATTTATTTACCTTTAACACTGTTGAACTTTTATTTCTCTTAGAATAACGACAACATAAAATACAGATAATGGGTCAAACGAGATTTATTGGCAAATATGTTTGACACGGACTTCTGTCTTGCCCAAGGCATTACACAGTATTGAATACAGTACTTCACATTACAAAAATAAAACCCTGCAAATAATGGGACAGATAGTTAGAGGGGCATCAGGTGGTAGGACAACTCTCAACTATTTCATAACCTAATAGAACACTACATAATCCTATAGACAGTACTTTTTTTTCTCCTTCTAAACAAATGCAAGTGGATTTATTGACCTTTTAAGTTAAAAATGAGGTACAAAAACAGAAGAGTGACATTGCCATCTCCAGGCTTATTATAATCTTTCAAGTCCTTCACTTGCCGAGGGCTTTATCCAGATTTGTCTTGATGGCGTCGAGGAAGTCTGTGGTATTGACGTAGTGCTCGTTCAGCTTGCAACTGAAAAGGTACGGCAGGACAGAGCAGATCAGAAAATTCAACAGCGTTCAACGCTTTAGGAAACCACACCATAAAAACACAAAAACAGAATATTTTTACTCTTATTGTTCAGAATCAATTTCTATTGTTAGTTTTTTAGCATCAACAACAAAGTATTGCTTAACATTAGAAAGGGCAGAACACACGATAAACTTAAATGGCTATGAGTTCGAACTACACGGGAGTTTTAACATTACTGTATTTACACATCTCAAGTTTTCAGAAAATTGTGCCCTTAAAGGACAAAAATACAATCCATTCATAGGAAGATGTGTAAACTGCAACGCCTCATGGATGATAAAGCCTCAAAGATGTGTTCGAGGTAACGTGCCAACCCGATCAAGTAGGAGACATTCACCAAACATGTGGAGAAAAGGGTGGGTAAACAAGATAGCACATACCTCCAACAGGGCTACACAATCCTTAAATGTTTACAAAACCTTTCATTTGTCCCTGAATCGAGACTGACAATCCTGCAATTTGTTCATTTGAATGTTCATTAGAAGTGAGAAAAATTCACTCTAAATCAAAATGCCCTTTTAATGTCTAATTTAAGAATCTTTTAAAATCTCCTCGATCCACATTCTGATTTGCATGTAAAACAGATTTTTTTCTTACTTTCCACCCAACTTAATTGAAATCAGTTACATGTTTACGACAACCTGCTGGGAAACGAGCAGAAACAAAAACACTTTCTTTTTTTTTTTTCCCAGCAGATGTCTGAAACTCCTCAAACATTCCCAAAAATGGGGGCACGTTTACCACAAAGTCCCCAACTTGTATTACATGCTGGCAGGTCAGAATCAGAGCAAATAATATCCTGTCTTGTGCCAACGTTTCAGACCAACAGTGGTGGTTTTAATCGATGAATTTATTGAAAGTTAAAATAAGGAAATCTGACAGTGAGAGCACCAAAACCTTGTTCATTTTCTGGGTGCCATTATAGGCTTAATGTCCCAAAACATAAAGATGCTCCGTGGACTAAATGGATCCCTACTTCAAATTGGGGCTGCGACTAATGAGTTTTTGTATGATTGATTAATCTGCAAATTATTTTCTCAAATTATTTGCTTTATAAAATGTTAGCCAGTGGTGAAAAACGGATGTCACATTTTCCCCAGAACTCAAGATGACATATTCAAATGATTTGTTTTGCACAACCAACAGTCCAGAACCGAAAGATATGAAAACAGAGAAACAGCAGTCGAAACTTCTCACAGTCAGGATACTTAAATTATGACATATTTGTCATTTTTAAGCAGAAATGACAATCACTGAAATAGTTAGAGATTATTTAAATTAAGTAGAAGTCTTGATTCTACTTTAAATCCAATTCTCCCTTTGTATATTAAATGATACGTTGGTGTCACATTGTTTTCTAATGACTTCCTAGTTTTACTTCTAAAACTTCTACTCTGCTGATGTGAAGGTCAAGCCCTTCCTTACAAGTTCAGAAGCCGCCCAGGTACTAGATGTTAATTATGTAAGCATGCAGCACACTGCAATACATTTAGGTTTGCTATTTGATGCACTGACGACTCCACTCAAACGAAGAGAGTGCTGTAATGGACACTAATGCTGCACAACACTCTGTAGATATAAAAAAGTATTTCCAGTGTGCTGCTGCCAGCCACAGTATATCTAATGGAAAGGTTCCGAGCGTACATTTTAGTAAGCAAACACTGTAAACTAAGGTATCAACATGGAAATCAACTTACTTGGGCAAGCCATGGATGCAGCCTGCGAGGTCCTTGGTCATGGTGCCACTCTCAACAGTCTCAACACACACCCTCTCCAGAGTCTGGGAGAACCTGCAGAATAATCAAGAAATGTGTTTTTTTAAAAAGCCACATTTCACATTAGGGATATTATATTTCCTGAAATGTTTTATATCTCTTACTTGATAAGGTCAGGGTTGCCATCAAGTTTGCCTCGGTGCTCCAGGCCTCTGGTCCAGGCAAAAATACTGGCGATGGGGTTGGTGCTGGTCGGCCTTCCCTGAAAGCAGAGTTGAGAAAAAATGATGATGTGCTTAAGTACTAGACAACTATTTAAATGATCATGTCCAGCATCAACTATTTGCTAGTATGGCATGTATGCCTACTTGTCATACTCAATTGTCAACACACGGTGGCAGTATAGCTCCACACATCACTCAGTCTACTTGCAAGAAGATCACTTGTCTTCACACATTTTCTGTTTCCTTTCCCAGCTGAAATGATATGCTATACAGACAGACAAAGACGGATAGTTACTAACCTTCTGGTGCTCACGATAGTGCCTGGTCACAGTGCCGTGGGCTGCCTCAGCCTCAATGGTCTTGCCGTCAGGGCACACAAGAACCGATGTCATCAGTCCCAGAGAACCAAAGCCTAAACCGGGAAACGCAAAATCCTTCTTTAGTGCAACCCACATCAGCCCAAAAGCTGGCAAGCACCATGAACGGTTATAGATTTCAGTATTTCATAACAGCATAATTTCCGAAGAAGAGGCAGAAGTGTTGTTGTTTTTTTAAATATCTCACCCTGTGCAAGAATATCAGACTGAACGTCTCCATCATAGTTCTTGCAAGCCCACACAAAGGCTCCAGAAGATTTCAGCACTTGTGCGACCATATCATCAATAAGCCTGTGCTCATACCAGATCTTCAGTTTGTCAAACTCTGGCTTGTAATTCCTGCAGGATGCACAAAACACATGTTAATTAAAGCTCTTTTGAGCAAAGGGGTAGTTTAAGAATTATTCATATGTGTGCACAAAGAAAGTGAAACACCAAACACAAAGACAGTAGACACTTACTTTTCAAAGATCTCCTGGAAGATGTCTTTAAATCTGCCATCATAAGCTTTCAGAATGGTGTTCTTTGTGCTCATATACAGGGGCCACTTCTTGCCAATAGCATACTGGAAGCAGCTGTGTGCAAAGCCTGTAATAGACTGATGAAAAGGGGGGAAAAAGAGAAACATTTTACGACTTGCTGTAGGTTTTATCAGTAGTACAGCGGTTAACAACCTTCCCCCTGACACACTGAAAGTCATCTACTATGACCTCTGATGTTGATAAATCAAACAGACTGCTGATGAAGGTAAACAAAAGAGTAGCGAAGCAGGTTAAAATAAGGTTAGTCTGCTAGAATGACTGCCGTGTCATTTCTAAAAAGCACCTTAGGGAAAATGGAAGAAGAATGTCAGATTTCTTTCAGCATGAAGTTAAAAATACGCAGAACTGTAATACCAAGGATAACCATCCTGACAGTTAAACTGGAATTATGGCTCAGATTTCAGCAAATACTGTAAACTTTCTGTATTTCTCAGTGCTGAATTAATGCATGCTTTAAGAAAAAAACAATTAACCAGGATTTAAATATGACAACTTATACATATATGCAGAACCTTTTTTTTTTTTTTTTTAATCATAACTGCAGTTTTTAAGACACAACTGAAACTAAAAGACATTTATAGAGGACAGCGGATGTCAATAAATGTCTGATTGTTAATTAACCACAGTAGCTGTTTTCCATATAATGCAATATATAGTATAAAATGTATAATACAATAATATACTATATGCAATAAAATGAGTAAAGCAAGAAAAGGTCACAACCCCGGAAACAAAACCAGCTGTTCGCCAGCTGTCAAAAAATCTCAAGACATAAAACAACAAAAGATGCTTGGCCACACAAAATAGAAAAATGGCAGAGGTCTTCAAGAACTTTGTTTAGTTGGGGATTTATTCTTTTATGTCAGCTGATATTGGCCATAACTGGGAAAAGGTGTTTGCAATTCCCATGGTGCGCATCAATTTCTTTATTTTAAAGTCAAAACAACCTCAACAAAGGTGAAAACTCTGTGTGAAATTGAGGACTTTTTTTATTTCACTGTTTCCATGAACATTTTTTAATGGAAACACACCCACTGTTGCACTGGGTGACAGTTCTTCACTGTGATGAGATTTGGAGTACATTGCACATTAAAGTACTATTGGCCCCAACAAACACAGTTACTAAAGCTCCTTCTGTAAGTATGAAGTGACTTGAAGCCTCAGCAGACTGTTGCTGCCGTTAGTCCCTTTATGGGATTTGTTGATATTAACGTAAATATAGAACCTCACCAAAAGTATCCTATAAGTAGTATTTGCTCACCTCATCTGTGTTGTACATGCCCATTCCACAGCCACCAGCAGGAAAGTCATAAACCTCCCATTCCTTGCCTGCACTACCATCAGCAGGTGAGAAGATGATCTTGAATTTGCCGGGCTGATTCACGACGAAGTCTGTTGCTCTATACTGTAAAAGAAACACAGAACGCTTTACTAACCTGAATACATTTTACACTTATCTTGAAACTCCTTGTTTTGTTCTAGCTTTGGGTTCCAAATGTGAAAGGACCATCACTGTTATAAACTCACCTGATCACCAAAGGCGTGTCTGCCGATGGTGATGGGCTGCGTCCAGCCTGGAACCAGCCTGGGAATGTTCTTGCAGATGATTGGCTCAC